GTGCATATATAGAAGACAGCACTGTGAATAAGTTTGAAGATGAGAAGCAACCATTATCACCGCTTGGAACTGATAACAGCAGCAGCAACAACTGTTCAAACCACAGTAACAACACTGTTAGGGTTTGTGCTGATTGCCACACCACTAAGACCCCTCTTTGGAGGAGTGGACCAAGAGGCCCCAAGGTACACCTTATCTTAAAACACAAATCCCAATATTGGATCCGTACTTAACTATTTTCGAACTAAATATCACTACCCTTTTTATCAATTTTTAGTTTAATCACACCAGTACCCAACTAATCATTCAGCTCTTTACTACTCAATAAGTAGAATTAACTAGAATATTGTTATATATTATGTTGAAATTAAATTAAATTTTTTGTGACAGTCACTATGCAACGCCTGTGGAATTCGACAGAGGAAGGCGAGACGAGCCATGGCAGCTGCAGCATCGGGAAATGGAACAGTGATTTTTGAAACTGAGAAGTCTGTGAAGGGAAACAAGTTGCAGAAGAAAGAGAAGAAGGCAAGAACTCAGGGTGCACCACAGATGAAAAAGAAGCGCAAGCATGGAGTTGGAGCAAAGCCATCTCAAAGCAGAAACAAGTTTGGTTTTGAGGATTTGACATTACGCCTAAGAAAGAGCTTGGCTATGCATCAAGTTTTCCCTCAGGACGAGAAGGAGGCTGCGATCCTTCTTATGGCTTTATCTTATGGCCTTGTTCACGGATGAATTTCAACGGTTAATTTTCATCGCTTCATTTCAGAACGTTAAGTAGGTTTCTTGTAGCTGTTTACGACTGGCTAGTTTTTTATTATTGTGTGAGATCAGTGGTTTGAGTTATATGTGCGAGAAGGGGATGTAAGTTAGTTAGGAAATGGGAGGGATAATAAAGTTACATGGTTGTGGGCGATCTTATGTACTTTGTCATATGATGTTTGGTTTGAGCAAGTTGACGACCAAAAAGTGTGGGTCTCTTCTTGAAGCATGTCTCATTTTATCTCAACAAATTCAATAAAATTTACAAGGGTTTTTATATATATTGTGATTAACAGTGTGAGATCAGTTTATTTAATGAATTGGAATAGTTCAATAAGTGTTGTTTAGAGAGAAGTTAAGCAGAATGTATGGATGTAGGCACTTGGATATATACGTGGTTCGAGATTAGAAAGCAACAGAACTACTTTATTTCTTTGCTTCCCACGTTGGTTAGGGTCCTCTATAGAGGCTTTTCCCACGGCTCACTTAAAAAGCTATTAATTATTCCACATTGACCTGACGGGTTTCTCAATCATGATAGTGATAATTCATGTCTGGGATGCAGCTTTTTTGTGTCCTGGAGACCTGTGGGTTGTGCTCTTGATTTGGACTTTGTCTGCTTCAAAAAGTTTTTAACTTATGAGCAGCTTGCCTTCACTCTTCATACCATGCAAGGAAGAGTGGTGTGAGTGGTCGATAGAATGCATAAGAAAATATTTTTTATTATTATTGAAGAGAAAAACATTACACAGTGCAAAGAGAATAACCAAGATCGTTATATACAAGGTGTTGTGACTAAAAGAGAACTCAATTGACCCAACTAATTATAATAAAAGGGTAAAAAAAAAACTGAAAAATAAGGCAAGAAGATATATATGATATTTCTGTCACCCTCTCCCTTAATGTAAACATGAATATTAGTTCTAATAACATAAGGATGAAGAGATTTTGTAAAAATGTTAACAATTTGGTTGGTGGAAGGAATATGAAGAAGCTTGATGAGACCTTCAATAATATTCTAGTGATAATTAATTTCTATATATTTTGTTTTATAAATTTTTATATATTTTGTTCTCTTATAAAATGAAGGATTTCTTTGCAATAATGTGAATGGCAGTTATTCTCAAAAAAGATAAAATAAGGGGTAGAAACATGAACATGCAGATGCTTGAACAAATATTGAAGTCATGTATCTCATAAGAAGCTAGAGATTTATTCAGCTTCAGATGATAATCTGGACATAATAGTTTGCTTCTTTGACTTCTAGGCAACAAGGATTGTCCCAATAGAAACACAAAACTCAGACACTGAATGTCTTGTGGTGGCTTAAAGTTGCCCAATTTCAATCAAAGTAAATATAAACTCTAATGGAATTGTTAGCAACATATAAAAGGTTGGAGCACTTTTCAAGTATTTTATAATTCTCATAGCTTGTTACATATGACGTTGTCGAGGAGATGAAACAAATAAGCTAAGCACGACAAAAGTAATATCTGACCTTGTGTTGGTAAGGCATACTAATCTCTCAATTAAATGACGATGCAAGGAAGGATTTAGGAAAATATATTATTTAGTTAGTTTATTATTATTCGTTATTTATATTTTGAGTTTAATTCATATTTTTTTTATTATAAATATAGAATCCAATATGTATATTCAACTAAATCAAATATTAGTGTCATACATAGTTTTTTTACGATATCAAAGTCATTTATATTAGTGACAAATTGTTCCATCCAGACATATTGCTTCACCTTCTATCGGACCATCCATTAATGTCTAATCACACGCTCGTGATTATTATACCTCGGCATGAGGGAGGTGTGTTGAAAATCACATATCGACTAATGATAAGACCAATTTATAGTATATAGTGGATGCAAATATCATTTTGTAAGTTAATTTTGTAGGGTTGAATTAGGCTTAAAGTCCACTTCTTAACATGATTGCAAACTTAGATATTTCTTTAGTACTGAGGTGACACAATTCAACAATATAGAAAACTAGTTGAAAAATTTAATTATCTTAAGTGTGATAAGCCAATTTCTTAAGTTCTCCTTTCTATTCAATTTGGTTCTTATATTTGTTATTTTGTTCAATTCAGACCCATTTTTTTTAATGGAACAATTTTATCTCTTTCCAACTTGAAACCAAATTTAATTTTTATATAAATGTTATTGATTTTTAGGTTAAACTATTTAATTGATTTTTAACCTAAAAATCACATAAAGTATTAAATAGTTTATGTGATTTTTAACCTCTTAAAATTTTAAACTAAGGTGTGTTAGTTTTCCATTTCTAAAATTTTCATTCTAATTTTAAACCAACTTTAATCATAAATTAGAAATATTTAATAAAAATGTAAATTTTAATAAAAATATCAATATAACATTTATATATATAAAAAATTGGTCTCAATTTAAAAATGAAGAAAATTATTCTAATTTAAAAAAAAAATGAGACTGAATTAAATAAAATAACAAATATAAAGATAAAATTGAATACAAAACACTAACACTTAACATTGATACTGACATGTGTTATTGACTATGACATATGACACTATTATTATCACGTGACACGATATTAATTTGTCTCGTAGAAATTTATTTTTTAAATTAATTTTTTTTTTAAAAATTAAAAAGTAAAAAATAATTACAAACTAAAACATGACATACAAAATTTCTTGTCGGTTGATTATTTAAATTGTGACACCATAAAAGATTAAATTAAACCATATTGATGAAAATTAAGGTCTTATTAAATAAAAAAATTAAGATTGAATTCACAAAATCAAATGAAAATAAAGAGTAAATTATTATTTTAAAGAAAGCAAAGCAACCAAAATGTGAAAAATGTGTTTATATGTACTAAAAAAAATAATGATATCCTCTCCATTGAATAGTTCACCGTCGTAAAATTATGAACAATATTATTCCTAATCTAAAATTTAAAATTAATTTTTTAAAATTTAGGAAACAATGAATAGTGGAATAGTTAAATTATTTGGAGTAAGAGTAAAAAATTGTCTGAGACTTCTTAAACAACTTAATAGCATAAAAAAATTATTTTCTTAGCCTTTTCTCTCTTAAGGGCTGGATTAGGAAATGAATTTGAGGAGAGAGTAAAAAAAATAAGAAAAAAAATAATAAAAAGTTAAGATTGTTTTGATTAAGAAAAAGTAAATTTACGTAATTTAGATTGATGTGATAAAATAAATTTTATTGTATATTAACATATTTAGAAATAATTTATAAAATATTTTTAAAAAAATAATTCAATGTAAAAATGAATTTTAAAAAATTTAAAGTCAAAATAAAAAATTATTACAAAATTTTAATTAATAAAATAACCATGTTTTATAATAAAAGTATATTGAAATAAATTATCAAAATTTAAATTATTTTATTTTATTTATTATGTTAATATATTTATTTTAATTATTTACTTGTTTTAATATATATGTATATTAGTTATAATTTTTTTTTTATTTCTGAAAACTGTCTTTCCATAATTGATTATTGAATTTGATTATGGGTGGTTTTAATAAATTTCTTCACACGATATTATAGAAAGTTACAGAAAAGAAAAACTTTTACCTTGTTTTTCTTGTATTTGACCTTTCTTAGATAAATAAAGCACTTGTATAATCATAAATTAATGAATTAAATTAAGATTAATCATTTCATATTCATTCATTATAAATTTATTGAAGTCCTAATTTTCAATAAAAATAAAATCACTAACACAGGCAAAAGCGGAACAATTTTATCTCTAATATTAGCAAATAGAGTGTGTTCTCCAAGGAATATTTTATGAATATAGTTTTAATAGGAAAGAGTTTTCTTTAATTTTGTGCATTTTATGATCACTTTCATCTTTATATAACTCAGTGATTGTTGATTGGAGACTTGCCTTTTCAAGTATGTCTGTTGACTTAATTAATTTGGAAAGGAACATGAATTTTGAGTTGCTACAATGTCTAAGAATTTTGTATAGTCAATCCTATTTTTGGGAGTAGTTTAGTAAAGTCAATGTTTATATTGCTTACATATATTCTCTTACATGCTTTAAATAAAAAACTTTATTTTAACATCTTAATAAAAAAAAATTAACATATAATTATATTAAAAAATGGTATGTATTAATTTTATCTTACTGGAACAGTGATAATAACGTGTTTTTCCTCTCTCTTCCGATAGAAAAGGGTAAGAAATGATAGATTCCGTTAAGATTGGGAATCGGAAGGGTTTATGATCGGGCCGTATAATGACCCATTTTGTGTAAGAGAATGGGCCCTAAATAAAAGGTCAAAATCCAACATGACTTAATGTTGGAAAAGTTGACAAGAGAAGAGACAAAGGAAAATGGCGTTGCGATGACTCGTGATGTGAGAAGATCGAGAACGTGAACATCTGAGGTTTGTTGTGTAGCAGATCAGAGTGCAGAGTGATCATCATTCTGTTTGAAGAAATGACAATGGGTGAGAGTCCCCCACCTGCACCTCCAACTGGGTTGCTTATGAAGCGCTGCAAGTTCATTTGGCGCCTTTTGCTGCTCTCTAACCTTGCTCTTGGAGGTCTCTTTATGTCCCTTTCTGCATCCATTATTATGCTTCATTCCTTCATTTACTTATTACCGATAGTCGGTTCTTGCTTCTTATTCTTATCGTCGGTTACATTGTCCTCTTCAGTGTTTGCCTTTCAGGTGTTCGACACATTGCTTAACAAGATTGACTTGCTTTCTTTTTTTTTTTTTTATTTCGAACAAGATTCCTTCATGTCTTGTGCACTTGAACTTCCACGTGCACGTGCTTCACTTCATTGAATTCTATGCTTTTTTTATACTCGAAAGGGAAAGTTTTTTTCACCCGTAATAATCTTACCTGATCAAGCAGAACTATCTGATTGAGGATTAGGGTAATAACTAACATTGAAACAGTAAGAAAGACATATTTGATTGAGGTGTTTTTGTTGACTGGCTTGATTGCTGTAGATATCAATTTAAGTATGTTGTTCATGTGGAGATGACGACATTCACGATAAACTGCTTTACTATGCTGAAAATTTTATGTATTTTTACCTTGGTTTATCATAATTTTGTTCTTATTGGTTATGATGGATGTCCGTACTGGGAAATGCTACTGATTGTCTTTGGTTTTATCACTGATATCAAGGTGTGAATGTAATGCGGGGATTTTTTTTCTTTTTGTATTTGAATGGCATTTAAGAAAGGAGCTCCTTAAATCCAAAATTAGAGTCTATTTGGGTGTTTTGGGGGGGCATTGGAGGGAGGGTTTAAGTGCAATAATTGGCGCATCTTAATGGTTATCATTACTGGTGGGTTTTAGATTTTAATCACTTTTATTGGTAAATGAACGCTTTTATTACGTAACTGCATGTTGTGACGGGAGAACTGGTACTTTTTGGATTTGTGTATGATTTTTCTGTTAGTACAGTACAACTTGCTCAAAAAGCATGTAAAATTAGGATCACGGTGGTTCAGGTTGTAAGACGTATGTCTAAAAATGAGTTGTACTGATCTCTTTTTCTCTTTTCGTTTCTTGGTTATATTGATGGAAATGTGAGAAAATGACAGTTTAGTGATTGATACCTTTTATTTTTTAAATAGCACCTTTGTATTTTGCAGTTTGATGAAATTTCTATGGTCAATAGTTCTACCATACTAAGCTATTGGCCACTTGAGTTATGTCAATTACAAACTTAAGGCATACATGCCATTACTAATTATTTATTCCCTTGATGAAATATTTAATGTATTTAGGACATTCTTTTCAATAAGATTGTGTTTTATAATTTAAAAATTATGATACGTAAATAATCAGTTTGACATATAGTATTCATGGCTATTCTTATATTTGTCACTTGATGTTGCATATAGGTAAAAAATCGCTTGTGTTTGATATTAAGAAGAAAAAAAAAATTAGATGTATACCTTAGCTTTGGAATTTAACTCCTTTTAAAGGATAAAGTGTTATAATTTAATTATAGATTTTATTAAATATATTTTTATTTTACCAAAATTTTAAACTGTTGGATTTCTAATCAACAATTGTAATTGAGCTTTATCCTCTAAGGTGCATTCTCCCAATTTAGTAGAGTCGAATCCTAGCATGCGCCTGTTGGCTTTCAGTTAGAGGATCATTTAAAATATACTGATCGGTATTTGTTTCTTTTCTTTTCTATGACATTTGATTGCAGCTTTTCTATTTGCAAGTGCAAAACGAAGAGATTCAGGGGAGATTACTAGAAGAACAGCACAAAAATCTCACAAGGGAAAAGCTAGTGTTGAAGTTCCTCCTGAACCCGTCACAAGTTCAATTGATTTAAATTACGATGATTTCATTTTGCCTGTCACGACACCTGAGCAAATGCAGGCTCCTATCCCTGAAGAACTACAACGTGAAATTTTCCAGTGGATGCTGGAAGAGAAAAGAAAACAGAAACCTAAGAACCCTGTNATAATAAAAGTATATTGAAATAAATTATCAAAATTTAAATTATTTTATTTTATTTATTATGTTAATATATTTATTTTAATTATTTACTTGTTTTAATATATATGTATATTAGTTATAATTTTTTTTTTTATTTCTGAAAACTGTCTTTCCATAATTGATTATTGAATTTGATAATGGGTGGTTTTAATAAATTTCTTCACACGATATTATAGAAAGTTACAGAAAAGAAAAACTTTTACCTTGTTTTTCTTGTATTTGACCTTTCTTAGATAAATAAAGCACTTATATAATCATAAATTAATGAATTAAATTAAGATTAATCATTTCATATTCATTCATTATAAATTTATTGAAGTCCTAATTTTCAATAAAAATAAAATCACTAACACAGGCAAAAGCGGAACAATTTTATCTCTAATATTAGCAAATAGAGTGTGTTCTCCAAGGAATATTTTATGAATATAGTTTTAATAGGAAAGAGTTTTCTTTAATTTTGTGCATTTTATGATCACTTTCATCTTTATATAACTCAGTGATTGTTGATTGGAGACTTGCCTTTTCAAGTATGTCTGTTGACTTAATTAATTTGGAAAGGAACATGAATTTTGAGTTGCTACAATGTCTAAGAATTTTGTATAGTCAATCCTATTTTTGGGAGTAGTTTAGTAAAGTCAATGTTTATATTGCTTACATATATTCTCTTACATGCTTTAAATAAAAAACTTTATTTTAACATCTTAATAAAAAAAAATTAACATATAATTATATTAAAAAATGGTATGTATTAATTTTATCTTACTGGAACAGTGATAATAACGTGTTTTTCCTCTCTCTTCCGATAGAAAAGGGTAAGAAATGATAGATTCCGTTAAGATTGGGAATCGGAAGGGTTTATGATCGGGCCGTATAATGACCCATTTTGTGTAAGAGAATGGGCCCTAAATAAAAGGTCAAAATCCAACATGACTTAATGTTGGAAAAGTTGACAAGAGAAGAGACAAAGGAAAATGGCGTTGCGATGACTCGTGATGTGAGAAGATCGAGAACGTGAACATCTGAGGTTTGTTGTGTAGCAGATCAGAGTGCAGAGTGATCATCATTCTGTTTGAAGAAATGACAATGGGTGAGAGTCCCCCACCTGCACCTCCAACTGGGTTGCTTATGAAGCGCTGCAAGTTCATTTGGCGCCTTTTGCTGCTCTCTAACCTTGCTCTTGGAGGTCTCTTTATGTCCCTTTCTGCATCCATTATTATGCTTCATTCCTTCATTTACTTATTACCGATAGTCGGTTCTTGCTTCTAATTCTTATCGTCGGTTACATTGTCCTCTTCAGTGTTTGCCTTTCAGGTGTTCGACACATTGCTTAACAAGATTGACTTGCTTTCTTTTTTTTTTTTTTATTTCGAACAAGATTCCTTCATGTCTTGTGCACTTCAACTTCCACTTGCACGTGCTTCACTTCATTGAATTCTATGCTTTTTTATACTCGAAAGGGAAAGTTTTTTTCACCCGTAATAATCTTACCTGATCAAGCAGAACTATCTGATTGAGGATTAGGGTAATAACTAACATTGAAACAGTAAGAAAGACATATTTGATTGAGGTGTTTTTGTTGACTGGCTTGATTGCTGTAGATATCAATTTAAGTATGTTGTTCATGTGGAGATGACGACATTCACGATAAACTGCTTTACTATGCTGAAAATTTTATGTATTTTTACCTTGGTTTATCATAATTTTGTTCTTATTGGTTATGATGGATGTCCGTACTGGGAAATGCTACTGATTGTCTTTGGTTTTATCACTGATATCAAGGTGTGAATGTAATGCGGGGATTTTTTTTCTTTTTGTATTTGAATGGCATTTAAGAAAGGAGCTCCTTAAATCCAAAATTAGAGTCTATTTGGGTGTTTTGGGGGGGCATTGGAGGGAGGGTTTAAGTGCAATAATTGGCGCATCTTAATGGTTATCATTACTGGTGGGTTTTAGATTTTAATCACTTTTATTGGTAAATGAACGCTTTTATTACGTAACTGCATGTTGTGACGGGAGAACTGGTACTTTTTGGATTTGTGTATGATTTTTCTATTAGTACAGTACAACTTGCTCAAAAAGCATGTAAAATTAGGATCACGGTGGTTCAGGTTGTAAGACGTATGTCTAAAAATGAGTTGTACTGATCTCTTTTTCTCTTTTCGTTTCTTGGTTATATTGATGGAAATGTGAGAAAATGACAGTTTAGTGATTGATACCTTTTATTTTTTAAATAGCACCTTTGTATTTTGCAGTTTGATGAAATTTCTATGGTCAATAGTTCTACCATACTAAGCTATTGGCCACTTGAGTTATGTCAATTACAAACTTAAGGCATACATGCCATTACTAATTATTTATTCCCTTGATGAAATATTTAATGTATTTAGGACATACTTTTCAATAAGATTGTGTTTTATAATTTAAAAATTATGATACGTAAATAATCAGTTTGACATATAGTATTCATGGCTATTCTTATATTTGTCACTTGATGTTGCATATAGGTAAAAAATCGCTTGTGTTTGATATTAAGAAGAAAAAAAAAATTAGATGTATACCTTAGCTTTGGAATTTAACTCCTTTTAAAGGATAAAGTGTTATAATTTAATTATAGATTTTATTAAATATATTTTTATTTTACCAAAATTTTAAACTGTTGGATTTCTAATCAACAATTGTAATTGAGCTTTATCCTCTAAGGTGCATTCTCCCAATTTAGTAGAGTCGAATCCTAGCATGCGCCTGTTGGCTTTCAGTTAGAGGATCATTTAAAATATACTGATCGGTATTTGTTTCTTTTCTTTTCTATGACATTTGATTGCAGCTTTTCTATTTGCAAGTGCAAAACGAAGAGATTCAGGGGAGATTACTAGAAGAACAGCACAAAAATCTCACAAGGGAAAAGCTAGTGTTGAAGTTCCTCCTGAACCCGTCACAAGTTCAATTGATTTAAATTACGATGATTTCATTTTGCCTGTCACGACACCTGAGCAAATGCAGGCTCCTATCCCTGAAGAACTACAACGTGAAATTTTCCAGTGGATGCTGGAAGAGAAAAGAAAACAGAAACCTAAGAACCCTGTAGAGAAAAAACAAATTGATGAAGAAAAGGCCATTCTTAAGCAGTTCCTGCGAGCAAAGTCAATACCAAAGTTTTAACTTTAACTCTCGTGCTCTAACATCACATCACTGACTGATTAAATAGTTTCAATGCAACGGATAGGCGTGTGAATTTGACAGACTCTTCTCTTCCCAATTCCATTATTTTGGTGGATAATGAGTTAATAGCATTACATTAGTTTTAGAAAAATAGGTATCCTGTCAGCTGTGCATGGCAGCTGGGCAGTTGGTATGGGATAGCTGTATCCTTCGTCTCGTTTACATCAAACAAAGGATATTATGCAAGAATATTATTGAGTTGGTACATCAACAAATATCATTGAAAAAGGGGAACTGTTATACCCTACTACCGGATCTCTACTTGTCAATTGTATTCGTTCTCTTAAATGTGATATCTCTAATGGTTATGATATTGACCTGTATGAAAGGGCTACATGCCAGTTATTACTCTAATGAATAAATTCTTCGAAATGTGGGGGACGAAAAGAGTATATGGAAAAGAGGACAGAAGAGATGATAGTGATTTTAGCAGCAGATTGTGACTATACATATGGCCTTGTTCTCCATTTAAGTTGCTTGTGCGACAAACTTGTCACATAAAAATGGTAAATCACCGATGTCCTTCAAGTGGGACTGTGTGCATAATCAATTGAGTGTGTGTCGTTTTGGGATCTACTTGCTTCAGGTGGCCATAATGGTCTCTAATGTATTGCTGCCACTTCGGTTTATAGCCAGCCGTTGATGATGCATGTTCTGAGTGATCAATTTTTCATATTACTATTAATTTTATGGTCGACACTTGCAGTTGTTAACTGACCATGAAATGCATTTAGAGATATCGTATTGAAAATAAATACGCATGCTTATGGCAGCATGACACCTTCATGGTAGCGGACGATGGTAGAATTAATTGGTGCCTCTTGACCTGGCCATTGGCTTCATGAATGTTGGATTTGGCCAAAAGTAAGTGAAGGACTTTTTCCTTCTCTATTTAGCAACTCATGTAGTAACGTAAAAGCCACCCATGGTTCTTTATCCTTCTCTATTTAGCAATTTGGTTGAAAATCCGAACTTTAAGCCACTGTATAACCAATAGTATACAGGACTTTGCATTATGCTAGTTTTTGCTTGAGCCCTCATCCAAAACGGAAATCTAGAGAAGAGGGTTTGTCTCATTTGGCTCAGTTTTGGCCACCATATGCAGTTCTTGTCTCATTGAATTTTCTCTTTACAGTGCCTGGACCATATTGATCTTACGTACTAATTGTCATGTAGCAGTAATTCAAAAATCAAAGCCTGTCAGTCACCACATGGTTTTTCTTCTGTTCACACATTATTCCAATAATACATGGATCGTTTGAATTTACCCTTACTTTCCCCACTGCATGACCATAAAATGTTAATTGTAAAACAATCAATGTGCTACATTCGTGCGAGATTTCCTAAGGAAAAAGAAATTAAAATCAATGACAAAAGAAGCATTCTTTGTAGGTTTAACTTGGGACCAGAATTCATTAGGATTGGTCTAGTGATGGAAGATTAGAATGGTATGTATCAAGTAATAGGTTCTAACTTTGGGCGATTAAATTGCACACAAAAAAATGGATTATTCCTTTTTTTTGTGATGTCTGATTATCACAATCTGAATAGAATGAAGAAAAATATGAATGACAAGTAGCTTAAAATTAAAATGATGTAATTTATATTATAAAAGCAAAATCGCTACAGTTTTATACTAATGACATCCTCTATAATCAAATTCTAATTAAAAAACCATATATTTCAACAGCTAGTTAAATCTTGTAGTAAAAACCGGAAAAAATGTTACGAAAATTTCTAAAATTGTTTTTGTTCTTTTTACTTTTTATGATAATAGTATCTAGGGATGGTTTAATAAAGAGATGTTGATTTACTTTTTTTTACTCATGTTCAAACTGTGTTGTGAGGTCTTTTAAGATGTGTCGAAAAAAGTTCTTATGTTAAAAAATTTAATTATGATGCATAAAAAAAAAGTGTTGGGAACGTATTTAAGAGGTATCAAAAAATGATCTGTTTGTTCATATATTCATGAATTAAATTTAAAATTCATTACGTGCTTTCCTCACCTCCATTAAGAAATTATATTATCTGTTCAATGGTGGCACTGATAAGTTCGTGCGTGTAAAATTGCCTCATTCACACAACCAACTTCGAATATATCACTCTAAGAAATGTTATAGTGTTGGAACCGTCTAATGTAAAACTATCTGAATGACCTTCTTTTCACCTAAAGTCTGTACCTTCTCTACATTTCAGGATTTATTAATAATTAAGGGATTAAATTTCTAATGCAAATTTTCCGAAAAATAATCTCACCCTTTTTTAGTTAAAATTTAAGAGGAAGACATCATTTTATTATCAGTTTCGGTAGAACATAGTCATCAAAAAGTTATTTGTAAAAATAATTTTGAAGGAAATTGTATAAAAATAATTAAACTCGATTAAATTTTACAAAGTTTTTACTTTAAAAACAATTTAATAATATAACTTAACTTTATTTAACAATATATTAATTTATTTCAATTAAAAACCACTTTTGCACTCGAAATAAATATTAGACCTGTAAAAATGTATATAATGATTTATATTTGAACTTCACTAATTATCTTAAAATGTAAATCTAATCCAATATTATTGGTAAATAATTTATTCAATATAAAGTTCAAAAAAATATGGGTTAAATATGTTTTTAGTCCCTAAACTATTGGCCGTTTCTGGTTTTCGTCCCTCTTTCAAAGTAAGGTACAATTTGGTCCTCATTCTTTTCGAAACGTTCGTTTTAGTCCTCGGACCTTTGGTTTTAGTCCTCATTTTGTTGCTAAATGAGGACCAAATTTTTAAACACTGTTTAGTTTTTGAGGACTAAAACGAACGTTTCGAAAAGAATGAGAACCAAATTTGAAAGAGGGACGAAAACCAGAAACGGCCAATAGTTTAGGGACTAAAAACATATTTAACCCAAAAAATATTATTAAAATGAATATTTTTTTTCCACTGTTCTAGAATTTTTATAGATCCATTTTGGAATGAACATTCCCAAAGATAAATCCGGATCTGGATATACTCTCTGAAATATATCTTAAAAAAAAATTAATTTTGAAGTGGTGTACTTAGGAAGAAAACATCCATTTCGGATTGAATATTTCAAAACATACTTTTTAAATCTGAAAATATTTTCTAAAACATATTTTTATATTTCTAGAGATATTTTAAAATTTAAAAATAATTTTCAAAACATTTAATCTAGAATATAGATCGAGTATTCCAAAAGATAATTTTCAGATTTAAAAATATTTTTCAAACACTTAATCGAAAAATATTAGAAAAGAGATTAAAAAAATTTATTATAATTTTAATGAGAGAAAGTTTGAGAATGGCAGGTTTATACGGTGCAGGAAAAAAGAAAGTGGGTGGTTGTATGTGGTGCACCAAGAAATGCCCTATAACCTGATAGTCTGGACGGCTCAAATTCTTTTAAATATTTGGTTAGATAAAATTTTTCTATGTATTGAATATAATTATTTTGTTAATATAATATATTTAATATATACTTTATTACTTGATTTACTTTTTGTTTTCAGTATGTTTCTTCATTAACTTATAATAAATAATAAGTTATTAATATTTATTTTTTTAATTATTTTACTTGTAGAATTTCTTTAGTTTTATAAGATATTTAAATTTAAAATTAAACAATAAAAAAAGAGAGGCTTTGTTGACTCTTTTCTTTTTTAACTTTTTCAAAATTTATGGGTGCCAGTTTGCTAGCCCAAAGGTAAATACAGGTTATTCTATCCCAACCAAATATGAAATAAGCCAAATCGGAACGGATGAGCTCACATTGCTAGCCCTAATACAAAAACTGCCAGAAAAAATATTATCGTAATATCTTCGATCAATTGCAACAAGATCATATGCTTTTATCAGTGGATCACACGAATCACGACTTCAATGTCTGATAATATATCTCTGGGATCTTCGACACAAAACTAGTTTTTTGTTACAGTAGGAAAAAGAATTCGAGTATCATCCAACACATACAGCTGCAACACTTCGAAAATATCTCGACGTTTTCAGAAAACAGAGAAGATATTGGGACATTAAGACAAAAAATAACCAGCAGCAGCTTTAACGAAGAATTTATCAGTGATGATTAGGCAGAGTAGAAAGCAAACACACATGATAGATCACAATTTTGTATGTCCAGCATCGACAGATCCATAACCCCAGGACAAAAGGTTAGGTTATTGCAACTAGGTCAGCATCTTCAACAGTTTATTTCCACCGAAAGCATCTTTGCAGCAAACAAGTGGAAGCTAAACTACAATACAAAGTGTGGTAGTTATCATCGTCTAAACAAAATAATGATGAATTTGCTTTGAAAGCGAAGCAGCGCTGTGATATTTTGATGACCAAATGTTTGGGATAATTCTCAAGCATTCAATACAATAGCTTACGGTTGAAAAAACTGTCACAAAGTCACCCAGTCATTAGCATGCTTCTCACCCCCTCTGAATTTTAGTCATGAATGAATGACATTGTCCCTAAGAATTGACAGGTTTTCCATTTAATTTAGGGAAAGGATCTTGCTTGCTCAATACAACCACTTTGCTTTTGTGGGCAAAGTAACCTTTCATAAGATTCTTAAATATCAGTATGGCCATTATACACTCTACCTGCAAAAGCATCACATACCATAAAACAAAATATTACTAAAAACATATCTTCCCTCATTTATATTTGAAAGAACAATTTGTAAGTATTATAAAGCACGGAGGAACTTTTAAAAAGTTACCTCATCCACGTCCATATCAATTTCAAGCCATTTCAACGCTTTAACAATAACATCTAACTTCACCTGGTGAGCTCTGTTTGGGTCCTTCTGCTTTTGAATGATGTAACTGCCATATAACAACCCAGTAATAATAAAATGAAAATAGTGATTTCAGTAAATAGCCAAATCATTTATCAATCCTGATATACTTTGGAATAAGAGGGTGAAAAGGTGATACAAGATTCTTACATCTTCTTTACTAATCTCTGGTAAACTTGAAGTTCTAACTTCTCCAGGACAAGATAAACGCCTGATCTCAAGAACCTACAAGAAGTGAATTCTATTATGCCCTCTTGATTAAACATAGGAACAACGAATCACAGTAATGAAAGAATGATGGGCAATTATACCGATCTTCATGATCTTGGAGTGCACGTCGAAGAAGCCGAAGGTCACCCCTTCTTAGAGCTTGTACAATATTAATATACTGTCCAAAGTAAAAACGAATACTAAAATTAACATTTCAAGGCACATAAAGATGTAAATACTGTAAATGTCAACTACCAAATGCAATAACGCCGATGCATTTCTTCTCAGGAAAATTATTCTGCAACATAAACAGGCACTACACATTTTTCCCAGAGCTTGATGATAACGAAATGTTTTTCAAAAATTTTCCTTTGAATAAAATGACCAAATTTCCTAGAAAAGTAACCATTCTGAAAATAGGTATCATGATTCATGAAATTCTAACAAACGGGTATATACCATATCACATTACTAATTGTAGCAGAAGCGTAAACATAATAACCATCATCAGTACCAGGATGATCATATTTTGAACATAAATTATTCTATTACAAAGTATGTTTATTAAAAAAATCTTGTAAAAAGATGAGTTCCAATCAGGAACTTCAAGGGGTATATGGCCAGCTGACTTACACTTGAATCATAATCAGTTTCATTTATTTCATTCTGACTTGTCTAAGGTAGTCCAGTCACTAATTCATAAATTTATTGAGAAGCAAAAATAAAAGAAGAAAATATGGAAAATGAAAAAAAAAATCTGTGAGCTCAAATTTGATTGTGGATAAGTTAAAAATCAGCTTTTGGGAAAGTTAATATAAGAAATTTTTTGCAAAGTAATTTATGTAGAAACTAATTTTAACTTATTTTTCTTTCTTATTTTCTTCTACTACAAGTGTTAATGAAAGAGTTATATTCAAACAAGCCCTAAGGGTTATGGCTTGTAAGGAAAATAACAGATTTGACACCTATCGCATCTAAAAGGTTTACAATTAATAAAAATAAGACAAAAGTATTTATAGTAACACAGAGAAAGATGAAAAGTAAAAATTCTCAAGAAAGAACCTAACATACCTCAAGTAAATTGTACTTCTCCAAGAGACTGCTTTTAGGTAATATACCTATCGAAAGCTTCACTGGAATTAGATGTTTAAGTATCATCCTATGCCCAAAAACACATTAAGTCATACACCTTATACTCGAAAAGATAGTTTATGTGGCTTTCTTTTATTACATTCCTTTAACTATGAGATGAAAAATCTTATCGACCAAAGCTATTCAACCCCTAACAGGTACCCATTTATTTAACTTACTCAGATATTTCTTTTATTGGCTTAGTAAAAATAACAGTATTTAACAGATAAATATATGAAAAAGATTGAGTTAAAGCTTGGTCATAGATGTGTCCGCAAAAATAGACATATTTATAGTGTATGTATAAGTATAATTGCAAGTAAAATATATACATACAACCAACTCATTAATCATTTCATGCAAATGCAATGTACACAGTTGGCACACCTGAACCAAACCTTATATTGGCTGTACTTTGAGGATTGCAATACTTCAGGGCATACGATAATTTATAATCAGCCTGTCAAATTAGAAATATAAACTGTATAAATAATTTAATAAAATTCCAAAGGTTATATTTTCATTGTTATTTGCTGTTGCTGGATAAATACAATTCAGGCAAAATTGGAGATGAAACACCCATGAGAGAATAACAACAACAATCAGCATACAAGAAAGTCGCATTCACTTTTAACTTTTTTTATGAAAGAAAATGTGTTCATTATAGTGCTTAGTTCTTCAACTCTTTTATTAAATTGCCTAAAGTGTTATTTTCAATCATCCAAAGGTTAATAACTTAAAAATAGTGACAATGTGGTTATTTTACTATTTTGTCCCCTTTTTTCTTTAAAAGGCTGATACAAGACTGGGGTAATATCCTTCAAAAAATTAGTAATGATAATATACTTAAAACAAGAAGTAATATTTCAATTCAGTTTTGCTTGCAACCATATAGGAAACAGTTCTCTATTGAAAGTAGATCAACTAAAAAGGAATTTGAACAAGGTACTGTTACCCAAAATTACAGAATGTGTCCAAACATAGTACAGAAGCAGGTCATAAGTTCAATTATGAGAAATAATGATTACTTACAGCAGAAAAATTTTCATTGAATACTTCGAGACGACCTGTATAGTACATGTAAGTAACCTGAAATACATCACAAAGATAGATAATCCAGAAAATATGTGTATAATAAATTGAATTTAATCAAAATCCACTAAGTGTATAAAATTTTACAAGTTCATCCAATCATAGGTTGTCAGTGCATGGTAAAGTTATTGACTTGAGTTTTACACAACTATTTTGAATTACGTACCTAAAATAATTTTTTAATTGGTTGGTAGTACAAAAATCTTCAAATTAACACAGCATAAAAATTAAACTCATACAAATTAATTCATTTCTAACCTTGTCTCTTTTGGGAAATTCCTCAAAATCAAATATACGTGCAGTTTCAATGCTTCTTATCACGCTACGACAAAGGTGAACTGTGCCAAGCTGAAAGACATTCATAGAATTAAAATCAAACTCTAATTTCAATTTTCAACCACAAATGTCATGCCATCCCTGTCCGAGCCAACCTTCCCTGATCCCAATGGACATGTCACACATACGATTACTCCAATATACAAGTTCATATTAGTGCCATTGCATATCAACAAATGAGATCATAAAGTATGAACCGTTAAAAAGGGAAGAAAAAACAGCAACAAATACCTTAAAGTAAATCTTGAATAATTGACAAGTTACATATAACGCTCCAACACGCTTAGAGCCTTTTCCCTGGAATGGAATTGAGTTATGATTTAGTATAATACCTCTGAAAGAAAAATTCTACACTGTCACTTGAAGCAGTTAGCAATCAATCAGCATAGAAGTATAAGTTGCGCAAAGAAAACACAAAGCATGGACAATTTGTTTTCCTTCGAAGAATTCGTTTTGTGAGTGCTACACGAACAATTAGGTTCTAAGATGACCAAATATAATACTTTAATAAAGTGGAAATATATAACAAACATTTTTTATGTTTAATTTAAATGTTATCCACGGCTAAATTTCACGTGTTTGATGAGTGTTAATCCCATTATCTCCTCTTCCACCTAGTTCTAATAGACAAGAAATTGAATTATGACAAATTATCAGCAACAAGCATACTAATGTTTTACGAAAACATGTATATTGGTAATGGCTAGTGTTTATCTTCTATATCTAAGTTTCCCGGAAGATATAAAATCAACAGCACTATTTATGGGCTTCGCAGCCAGAAAAATAAATAAATTAAGAGAGAGAGAGAGAGAGAGAGAGAGAGAGAGAGCAAAATACTAAACCTAGCTACAATAATCGTCTGCGAGAGTTTAATAAAGGCTTCAATGACACAAACTTGGATTTCAAATTATCGGTACCAAACTAAATTTGAAAATATAACTTGATTTTAAATGAAAACGAGTTGACGAAAACAATCACATACCGCAAGGGTGCCAAAAACTTTCATAAGGACGGAACCAGCGCCTTTCAGCTTCTCAGGAGACTTCCCATTGGAAGCCAATTCTTTATCAGCCTAAAATTAAAAAAAAAAAATCACACAACCCAACCAAAGTTCCAGAAAAAGAGAAAATATCATAGCGAAGTACAAAAATTACCTTCTCCGCAAGAACCCTAATATCGTAAACAATGACGTACAAAGCTTCCAGAGCCCACGCGGATTCCCAATTGCGAAACTCCTGGATAAACGCACTGAACTCCGAGGTTCCAATTTAAATACAGGAAAGAATTAAACTCAATTGAAACAATTCAAATAACAATAAGAAGAAGAAGTAGAAAAA